ACAGCACAGGTAGGCAGTACAGGTGGGCACACTGGTGGGCAGTACCAGCCTGGGTATACCACAGCAGCACAGGTGGGCAGTACAGCACAGGTGGGCATACAGCAGTGCAGCACAGGTGTACAGGGTACAGGTGGAGCAGTACAGCACAGGTGGGCAGTACAGCAGGCACAGATTGAGCAGTGCAGCACAGGTAGCAGTGATTATACAGTGCACAGGTACAGTACAGCACAGGTATACAGTACAGCACAGGTAGGCAGTACAGCACAGGTACGAATTGACAGTACAGGTATGCAGTACCAGCACCGTTAGGCATGTACCCAGCACAGGTGGGCAGTACAGGTAGTACCAGCAGTGACAGCACAGGCAATACAAGGCAGTACAGCACAGCAATTACAACACACAATTAGGTATACAGTACAGGTGAGTACAGCACAGTGAGCAGTACAGCACCATACACAGCACAATTATACAGTAGGCAGTACAGCACAGGTAGGCGGTATTGAGCAGTGCAACACGGGTGTACAATTACAGGCAGTATAGCAGTACAGCACAGCAGTACAGCACAGGCAGTACAGCACAGCAGTAGGCAGTACAGCACAGGATAGTAGGGCAGTACACACAGGTGCAACTGCAGCACAGCATACAGCACAGGTGCACAGTACAGCACAGGTGGGTGGAGGCAGTACAGCACAGGTAGGCAGTAAGGTATGAACTGGCGGGGGAGTCTCTATTTATGTGACAGCCACTAGCATCAGGTTGTGTAATAGATAACACCAGCCGAGTGTAGCAGTAACAGCCAGTGACGCCTCCTTGTTTCATTTAGGGCGTAACAAGTGTATCTAGCTGAGAGTTACGCCAAACAAGGCCATTAGAGTCTAGAAGAGTTAAGGGTCCGTAATGATGTATCAGACACACACACACACACACACACACACACACACACACACACACACACACACACACACACACACACACACACACACACACACACACACACACACACACACACACACACACACACACACACACACACACACACACACACACACACACACACACAGACACACACACACACAGACACACACACACACACACACACACACACACACACACACACAGAAGGTGAGATTACTGTAAGCGTCACCAGGGCAAGAAATGGATTAGTTTCAGGAAAGTCTAGAGTGACGCTGTGTTATTGGTGAGAGAGAGAGAGAGAGAGAGAGAGAGAGAGAGAGAGAGAGAGAGAGAGAGAGAGACTAACCTAACCTAACCCAAACATAACTCCACCAGGTATACTCTTACTAAGGTTAATTTACTCCTCAGGTGAACACAATATCCACACACATACAACAATAAACAAAATTCCTACAATTGTGTTGACAAAAGAGAACTTGTTGACATTGTAGTGAAGATAAAGGTATAAACATTACACTGACATATACAACAGGTCAGGGTACATACAGTATATATAAACCAAGGTATACACTGTACTCATACACTGAATAACATAAACACTAGTGAATTTACTTATTTTTCATCATAGATACATTTTTTTTCTTGGTGTAAATAATTAGGTTTTTTTTATTACTGTATACGCCTGTTAAAGTAACCCAGAGGTGACTAGATTATCAGAGATGTGTTGTATAAGGATGTGTTAAAAAGGGATGTGCTGTATAAGGGATGTGACACCAGATAATAAGGGAAGAGTTTTAGAAGGGAAGCAATAGGGTTGAAAACATTTATGTTAGAATATATGGAATGAATAAAGAGGTTGTATTACTGTAGTTTTGTGGTGTTGTGGTGGTGTTGTGGTGGTGTTGTGGTGTTGTGGTGGTGTTGTGGTGGTGTTGCTGTGGTGTTGTGGTGGTGTTGGCTGTGGTGTTGCTGTGTGTGTTGTGGTGTTGTGGGTGTTGTGGTGGTGTTGTAAAGGTGGTGTTGTGGTGTTGTGGTGGTGTTGTGGTGGTGTTGCTGTGTGGTTTTGTGGTGGGTGTGTTGCTGTGGTGTTGTGGTGGTGCTGTGGTGTTGTGGTGTTGTGGTGTTGTGGTGGTTTGCTGTGGTGGTGTGGTAATGTTGTGGTGGTGTTATGGTGTTGTGGTGTTGTGTGTGTTATGGTGTTGTGGGTGTTGGTGGTGTTGTGGTGGGTGTGTGGTGTTGGTGTGGTGTTGTGGTGGTGTTGTTGTGGTGTTGTGGTGGTGTTGCTGTGTGGTGTTGTGGTGGTGTTGCTATGGTGTTGTGGTGTTGTGGTTGTTGGTGGTGTTGCTGTGGTGTTGTGGTGGTGTTGGTGGTGTTGTGGTGTGTGGTGTGGTGTGGTGTGTTGGTGTGTGGGTGTGACTGTGGTGTGTGGTGGTGTTGCTGTGGTGTTGTGGTGGTGTTGCTGTGGTGTGCTGTGTATTGGTGTTGTGGTGTTGTGGTGGTGGTTGCTGTGGTGTGTGGTGGTGTTGCTGTGGTGTTGTGGTGGTGTGTTGTGTGGTGTGTGGTGGTGTTGTAGGGTTGTGGTGTTGTGGTGTTGTGGTGTTGTGGGTGGTGTGTGTGTGGTGTTGTGGGTAGTTGTGGTGGAGGTGGTGTTGTGGTGGTGTTGCTGTGGGTGTTGTGGGTGTGTGTGTATGGTGTTGTGGTTGGTGTTGTGGTGTTGTGGGTGTGTTGCTGTGGTGTTGTGGTGGTGTTGCTGTGGTGTTGTGGTGGTGTTGCTGGCCAGTGCTGTTGCTATGGTGTTGTGGTGGTGGTGTTGCTGTGTGTGGCGTTGTGGTGGTGTTGTTGTGGTGTTGTGGTGGTGTTGCTGTGGTGTTGTGGTGGTGTTGCTGTGGTGTTGTGGTGGTGTTGCTATGGTGTTGTGGTGTTGTGGTGGTGTTGTGGTGTTGTGGTGGTGTTGTGGTGGTGTGGTGTTGTGGTGGTGTTGTGGTGGTGCTGTGGTGTTGTGGTGTTGTGGTGGTGTTGTGGTGGTGTTGCTGTGGTGTTGTGGTAATGTTGTGGTAGTGTTATGGTGTTGTGGTAAAAATACGAGACAGTACAAAACAACACATATTTACACATGTTTTCTTTGTTACACCTTAATTATGCACAGTCACAAAAACACCAACAAACAAAATAATATTCGTACTCATAATTAAACAAAAACACGACTCAACAGGTATTTTATTTAATTAGTAATTAAAACGAAATCATTACAGAATTTACATTAAAATACACGACATCTTTTCATCAAGTTGTGAAGTAGGTTATGAACGGACTGACGGACCCTCAACCCACACAGGTGAGATTATTATGTCTCCTGTACACACACACATACACACAGACTCACACACACACACACACATACACACAGACTCACACGCACACACACATACACACAGACACACACACAGACACACATACACACTAATAACGTCTTCTATACGCACATAACTCCTAAAAGCATCTCACCACCTTTGGAACTCCTAAAGTAACCCGTTTTTAATAAAGTTCACCATTATCAACACCTGTATCTCCTCAACCAATCAGAGAGACGCGTTCCTCCCATCACACCTGAGAGACGTTTCACCTTCCTCCAATCTGGGGCCATCGATCCTGAGACGCTAGCTGGGAATGTTTGGGTTTATTGATGGTTTATACAGATGGTTTATGTGGTTTAGGGGACCATAAAGCGATGAAAACTATGAATATTAATAAGTTCAGCTTCAATAGGTTTGTGAATTGGAAGGAGGGGAGAGACTCTCTGTTCCCCTGTTTCTCTCTCTCTCTATCTGTGAACGTCTGTCTAACCTAATGTAACCTAACCTAACCTAAGACAGTCTTGCCTCTCGTTAGTACATCCCGTTTTCTATGTATCTCAGTTACCAGACGCCAAGCGATGTTCTCTTTTTGGCCAAACTAAAGTGAGTTTTACCACAGCTGCTGCCAGGAGGAGAAGTATGTGGGGAATGACTGGTATTGTCCTGATGAGAGACAGACATGGAGAGACAACGAGAGAAAGAGGAGGAGGAAGAAGAAGAAGAAGAAGAGGAGGAGGAGGAAGAAAACAAGAATATGAAGGGGAGGGAAAGAAGAAGAAGAAGAAGAAGAAGAGGAGGAGGAGGAAGAGGAAGAAGAATATGAAGGGGAGGGAAAGAAGAAGAAGAAGAATAAGAAAAAGAAGAAGAAGAAGAAGAAGAATATGAAGGGGAGGAAAATAAAGTGAAGAAGAACAACAACAATAACAACAACAACAATAACAACAACAACAATAGTTATAAAATAATAGGACAGTATAAGTGGAAACTTTTTATTAGGTATTAAGTAAAGCTCCTGAAGACGCTAAGGGGATACTGCTCTAAAGTATTTTGTTAGAGTGATGATGAATATAAACTTGAGATAAGGACACGTTGTTCCAGAATGGTTGAAATATACTCTAAAATAGGTCAAAATAGTTATATATGTGAAAAATAGTGTAAAATGGGTGTAAAATAGTTTGAAATGAAATATATTCTAGATCAGGTAAATTAGTCTAAACTAGATGGGGGAAACTTATTTAGAAAGAGAGATAATGTTTTAGTAAGTGAAATATATTATTAAAATCGATAGAAAAGTTATAGATAGACGAACAGACTCCCACGTACGGAGAAAACGCTTTATAAAGAGAAGAAAGTACAAATGAAAAAACGTCCCACACATCAAGCGGTAAAAGGAGATGACCCAGCGACTCCGTGACCGTAGCCGATGTGAACAACCGCCTCTCCACACGACACACCCTTCACCAATAACTACTATAACCATCCTTTAATCTCCAAATAAACTATCCTAATGACTTTTAAATATAAGTAATTGAATTTAAGTATTTTATAGACGATTTAGTAATGAGGAAATGAGTATAGGTGATTAGGGAGCGGTTAAACAAAAGGGTCCGATTCGCCTCACAACGGGTCAGTGAACATTCAACGGAATCGGTCGGTGATGGTAGAGTTTAGTCTCAGATTCGGATGGTCTCCCCACACAAGTAATTCCCCTATAAATAGTGTGGAAGCACGGGGAAGCAGTCACTGGCAGCCCGCCCTTCGTACTATCAACATCTCCACCTCCTCCCTCCTACCTCCTTTGGTACTGTTGGCAGTGGCAGGGAAAATGTTCGCCTCTGCTTGGGTATGTACTGTGTGACTCCTTTGTATTTACCTATTTCACTCATTTCTCTCACATTCTCCCTCTCTCATATTCATCCGTGTCTCAGTTATAAAGATATAATGATAAAGAAACGAAAAATTAGCTTAAGTTGCGAAAGCTGAGGAGTTAAAACAGTCGTTGTTTGTGTGGGAAATAAACATGATATTCAGGAGTGTTTGTCAAGGGGCCAAGTGTTCAGGTGTGTTGCTCTGCTTCCTCCTGTATGGCGCTAAACTATGTCTGCTTGTGAACTTATCCTCAGTGTACAGTATATATCGGATCACGTGAAGATTAGAAACCCACAGTTTATTTCATCTACCTGTTGAACCATGCTAACGCTAAACTAACCAAAGTTAACCTAACGCTAACCTAATATGACGCTAATCTAACTTAACCTAATCTGACGCTAAACTAATCTAAGTGAACATAATCTAAGCTAACTTAACATAATCTGGTGGTAAACTAACTTAAGTTAACATAACGCTAACCTAACGTAACTTAATCTGACGCTAGCCTACCCTAAGTTAACCTAATCTAACCTAAGTTAACTTAATCTGGCACTAACCTAACTTTACCTAACACAAACACAGACAGTGACACCCTCGACACATAAAACCAAAGAGCTCCACAAACTCGTAAGACAAGACAGTGAGAGGAATGTTATTTATCCCCTGCATGACTTGAAGGGGCAGGTGTGGGATAACGCTGTCCCCTGAGTCTGTCTGTCGTGTGCGAGAGACAGTGCTGATGAAGGCTCAAGGGACCGAAGCAATATAAGATTGTCTTACTGATTCACGCGACGCAGAAATTTTCCAATATTCGTGGAAACTTTTCTTTATGGCTCTGAACACGTCTTGGCTTAACTTATCTTAAGCTACACTTAACCTAGCTTAACCTAACTTAACCTAACCTATATCAAGCTAAACTTAATCTAACCTATCTTAAGCTAAACCTAATCTAACCTATCTTAAGCTAAACCTAACTTAATGTAACATTAAAGTAACATAACCTAACTTATCTTACGGTAAACCTAACGTAACTAAACCTATCTAGATAATTTACCTTTGCCGTTATATCTTCACTTTCTTTTTATTCAGATTTATGATGGAAAAAATCGAACGATAGTTTTAGAGAATCGAGATTATTGTTTATGGAAGAGTTTTACTTGGTGCCCCCGAGGTGTTTCGCTTCCCTCCATGATGTATGTACGTCTGTGTGAGCCATTATGGTTTGTCTAGTTTGTTTCTTTGTGTATGTACAGTACAGTAGCTACTATACATACCTAGCCTACTAATAGCCCGGTTTATGGGTACACTGACAACCTGGTAGCCTTGAGCTGAACACTGACAACATGGTAACCCTGAGGTGCACACTGACAACATGGTAGCCCTGAGGTGCACACTGACAACATGGTAGCCCTGAGCTGTACACTGACAACCTGATAGCCTTGAGGTGCACACTGACAACATGGTAGCCTTGAGCTGAACACTGACAACATGGTAACCCTGAGGTGCACACTGACAACATGGTAGCCTTGAGCTGAACACTGACAACATGGTAACCCTGAGGTGCACACTGACAACATGGTGTAGCCTTGAGCTGAACACTGACAACATGGTAACCCTGAGTGCACACTGACAACATGGGTAGCACACTGACAACATGGAGCTGTACACTGACAACATGGTAGCCCTGAGGTGCACACTGACAACATGGTAGCCCTGAGCTGTACACTGATGATCGTTTACATTCAACTAAGTCATCCACGTCTTCCCCCTTCAGCAAGGCATCGTCGTCGTCCTGCTGCTGGCGGCGGCGACGACGGTGAGAGCCTCGACTGAGGGGCAGGAGAAGAAGGACGACCTCGTTTTCGACCTCCTCCAAGACCCTGCAGACGCTAACCTCCACAAAGGCTTCGTAGAGGCCGACCTCCTCCTACCAGCGGAGAGCCAGCAGGTCTCCGCTGTCGCTGCAACGGATCTCGACACATCTGCTACAGGTAGGTCCTCCCGGGGTCTGGTAGTGGAGAGCTGAGCTTCTGCTGTAGGAGTCCTGAGAATAGGTGGATATAGTGTGTGTGTGTGTGTGTGTGTGTGTGTGTGTATGTGTGTGTGTGTGTGTGTGTGTGTGTGTGTGTGTGTGTGTGTGTGTGTGTGTGTGTGTGTGTGTGTGTGTGTGAAAGAGAGAGAGAAAGAGGGCGAGAAAGACATAGATATTTATATAAACAGAAAGAGAAAGATCGAAGGTAAGAGAGAGATATCCTTTTACACAGAAAGATCGAAGGCGTGCGAGAAAGAAAGAGAAAATTGAATAGAGTGAGATAAAGAAAGAGCGGCATTTACACAAGCAAGACAATGGAGGCAAGACACACGCACACACACACAACACACACACACGCACACACACACACACACACAACACACACAGGATACACTTTATTCTTAGCCTGGGACACACCGGCACTGGGTAACTGAAGGTAAACACGCTCACAGAGACGGCCTGAGGGAGTACACTAGTTGTTGCCATTGTTAATAATATCTGGTTATTATAGTAAATGTGTTATATGAGAGAGAGAGAGAGAGAGAGAGAGTCAAAACAAACATTCTTCTCCAAGTGTTTCATGTAAGAATTTATTGCTAGTCGTGACGCACACACACACACACACTAGTCACCCCCCTATTCATATCCTCTGTTTTGTGTTTCTCTACTACAAAGGGCACAAAGGCTACGGAGGAGGTAAGGGCCACAAGGGACACAAGGGCTATAAGGGCAGCTACCACGACAAGGCGGGCTACAAGGGCCACAAGGGCTACAAGGCTAATAAGGGCCACAAGGGCAGCCACTACGGTGACCACGGCAAGGCGCAGTACAAGGTGAGTGTTGATAATCCCGCTTTAGTAAGGACATTCACCTCTGTCACCACAAAGATATTTAATTCTTCTAAATTCACATATTTCCCCCCAAATCAATAAACAAAGGAAACAAAATAAAACACAAAATTCTCTTACTTTCTTTTTATCTTTTGTTTACATTATTTATTTATTTTATTACTTTAAGCAACTGTGAATGTCATCCTCATAACACCCGATATTTCCGAGTCAGGAACACTAAAACGAATACTTTTTTTAATTTCAATCTTTTCTAATTTAGTTTTCGTCCGTGAAATCATCAAAGGTGACGAATCAGAGACAAATTTAATTCATTCTTCCTTTTTTTTTAAAGGAACCATTGATCAGAAGAGACAAGGTTCCATTTTACCAATCCCTTCTAAACAAACCGGAATTAATTTTACTTTTTCTTTTATTTCAAAGATTTCCCCTGAAGTCATTATGTTATTTTTGTTTTCGATAATAAGGACTAGGTTCAGATGCGTTCTATATTCTTCCGTGTTACTTACCTCACTCACTCACTCACTCCCTCGTTCATTAGCTCACTCACTCACTCAGTCGCTCATTCACTCACTCACTCACCTCACCAGGGTTACCACGACGACCACGGCAAGAAATACAAGGGTCACGACGACAAGCACAAGTATTATGGCGATGCTCACAAGGGCAAGAAGGGCAAGAAAGGTCACCACTACGGCTCCAAAGGTCACCACAACAAAGGTCACAAAGACAAGGTGAGTGGCTTATCATTTTCTTGAAGATTTTGATCAATTTTATCAGTCACATTCTCTTAGACAGATAAATGGAAAGCTAGATGCAGCATTGCCTTGTAGTTTCTAAGACAAAGGTTAACTTGTACTTGTAGGGGTACAAGAACGTGTACCACAAGGAGGAGTACCACCACAACAAGAAGTTCTACGACGACCACGACGACAAGAAGTACCACAACAAGTATGACGACTACGACAGCTACTTCAAGGCTCAAAAGGGCAAGGACTACAAGGGCGGCCACTACAAGGTACTACCACACACACATACACCTACACACCTACACACATACACCTACACACCTACACACATACACCTACACACACACCTACACACATACACCTACAAATACACACACACACCTACACACATACACCTACAAATACACACACACACCTACACACATATGCACTGACACCTACACTTACCTAGATCCTTAAGTTGAAGGATATGATCACCTGTGTAAGCTAACCTAACCTAACCCCTCACCTGTAGATCCTTCACCTGTAGAACTTCACCTGTAAAACCTCACCTGTAGAACCTACCTGTAGAACCTCACCTGTAGAACCTTATCTGTAGATTCTCACCTGTAGAACCTTACCTGTAGAACCTCACCTGTAGAACCTTATCTGTAGATTCTCACCTGTAGAACCTCACCTGTAGAACCTTACCTGTAGAACCTTACCTGTAGATTCTCACCTGTAGAACCTTACCTGTAGAACCTTCCTTAATTAATGTCTCCTTTGTCTAGTCTTCGCAGGTAAGTAGTTGGATCTAAGACGTCATAATTTTAGTAATAACCACAATAGCTCATTATAGTCATATTTCTAGTGATTTTTACGTATTTTCTTCTTCTATTTGTAGAGTAATTGCTTAATCAACTTCTAGTAATAGCCATCGGTATATTTCTTCAAACCTTTCGTTCTTAGCACTTATTATTTCCTGTCAAACTTATAGAGAAATTATTAATAACCTGAATCTATTTCTCCTCTTACTTCCTATCCACCTAGAGGAAGATAAATAGTGGAGGAGGAGGAGGTGATGATGAGGAGGCGGACACACACACAAGGGCGGGAACTACTTCAGGGAGTGATGCAGCTCTCAGGAAACACAAGGTAGAGGCTGATGCAGCTCTCAGGAAACACAAGGTAGAGGCTGATGCAGCTCTCAGGAAACACAAGGTAGAGGCTGATGCAGCTCTCAGGAAACACAAGGTAGAGGGTGTTTCTGAGAGTTCCCCCAAGACTCAGAGTGGACTAAGAGCGAAGAAAATCTCAGTTAAAGATAAAGAGAAGTTAGAGATAATGAGTGATAAGAAATCTCAACCAAATCGGGTTAAGAAGAGCACTGGAAAGATCCTCCGCCATGACGTCATTGATGTGAAGAAGAAAATGGGGAGGAAAAGCATCAACAGAAAACGGGAAATTGATAAATCTTTCAAAAGAAAACTAAAAGAAAGGGAAAGGAAAGTGGGAAGACAGCAGGTAAAGGAAAAGAAAGCCCAAGAGAAGAAGAAGAAAATAAGAAACGAAGATAAGATAAGAAAGAAGAGAGATAATAGTCCAAAATCCAACGAAACAAGATCCACAGAGAAAAGAAGAAAATCAGACAAGAAAGTCAAACATAAAGACAAAAAACATCACTTAGTAAACACCGAAGACAAAGAAAGAGGAAAAGATGTCAAGAATATACACAAGAAAAAAGAAGACAAGAAGCCAACGAAAACAAAACATACAAAGCCATCGAAGACAACACAAAAAACAGAAGAATCTACGACTTTACTTACAACTGACGGAGACGATAAGCTGCAGAGGCGATCAACGAAGAAACTCCTAAAGTTAGAGCGACAGAAGTGCCGAGGACACTACAGGACTTGTCTCAAAGCTGCGCGACTGAAGACACGTAAAGAAAACAAGGCATCGTCATCTGGATCAAAACAACAAGAAAGCATTAAAGGAAGTGTTGGGAGGAAGTTTGTAAAGAAGGAAAGGTTAGATATAAAGTCTGGTGATACTCGGAAGGGGAAAGATGGTGGGGGAGATCGAGGAAGACTTAAGTTACCCCTGAAAGACAACAAAAAGAAAACGAAAATAACAGAAAATGGTCACAGACGTTCTTCACCTCAGAGCAGTCATTCATCAGAGCGCAGACGTTCACCCCAGAGCAGTCATTCATCAGAGCGCAGACGTTCACCCCAGAGCAGTCATTCATCAGAGCGCAAACCTACACAACTAAAAGGAATCATAAAGGAGAAGAAATCGACTACGAATCAGAGGAGGAAGCAGCAGACCTTTAAGAACACCACGAAACATAATCGTGAAAAACGCTTTAAGAACTCAGAGGATAACAACAGCCAATCAAAGCTCACGAGACAAAAGAAAACACCAAGAAGAGACAAAAAGACAAATAAAGGGAGAAAATTTAACGTTAAAACTAAAGTCACACCAAAAGCAGGACACGAAAGACGTAATTTAACAAAGACACAACAACGAGGAGGTAAACAACAGAAGAGACGAGATGAGAACAGAAGTAAACGTCAAGATAAAGGAAACATCGCTAATTATCGTGCTAAGAGAGAAAGCAGAAACAGAAAACAAACTCCGGACGACCAAAACAAGATAAAGCAGATAGATAAGTCTCCCCTAAAAGTTAAAAGAAACAGGAATAATAAGAGAAATTCTAAAATATATCAAAATAATCCTTCACAATCTATAAAAATCCAGAAGGAAAGACCAGGAGATAAAGAAACAAAAGGAAAAGGAGGAAAATCTATGAGAAGTGAGGAGAGAAGTCATCAACATACTAAGAAGACCTTCAGAGGTAAACACCAACAAAGTACCAAGACAAAAGACAATCGGGAAAGTGACCCACAGCATAAGGAGCCTCAGAGGGGAGACGGGAGACCTGAAGTAATAAGCGAGGAAGGTAAACTACTCAAACAATGTCTTAGAGCTCTAGCAAAAGTAGATCGCAAGACGAGTTTGTTGATACACGAAAAATTCCTGACAACATGCCAACAGAAGCAACGCAGAGGAAACCAACACCGCCATTCTGAGTTAAGTAAACGTCAGAACAGGGATGATGTCAATAAATCTACCATACGTGGGAGACTACGACGAAACGGCAGACATTCACCACAAGATAACAAGAAAAACCAACGTGAGGCCAAGAACATGATAGAAGGTAACTCTCCAAAACAAAAGAAGAACGACAGACACCCAAAGCATCGACTAGAACTTAAGAGAAAATACCTCAAGAAGGAGTCAAGCGATGGCATGACCAGACCACTACAACTCTTGCCAAATCGCCAGATAAGCCAAAACACAGAGAGAAGAACTGCCACCACTGACAGACGACCACGACCTCACGCCAATAAGAAAAACAAACAGAATAACAAAAGTGATAAATTCCGGAAGCTTGTGTCGTCAGATAGAGAAAAATATGACGATTATAAAAGATCTCAGGCAGCTGTTGTTGATAGGAAGAGGAGACGTAAAACACACGAGGGAAAATCGCTTAATAATCTCATGTATACTGATCGTTGGGGGAACCAGAGGGGGTACAGGGACCTTCCAGGGGTTACGAAGGCGGGACAGCGAAGACAGAGAGAAATTACTCGATTGAAACAGCGAAAAGATGAGAAGAGAGAGAAGAGAGAGAAGAGAGAGAAGAGAGAGAAGAAAGAAAGATATTTTAATGAGAAAGAAGGGAAAGGAGTCTCACATCTCAAGTCCGGTGGGTATCGTGGAAAAGAAAGCAAGAAAGAAAATCACAAGGAAAATAGTCGATTAAAACGAAGCCAAAAGGAAAAGAGAAAAAGAGAATCAAAACAAACAGACAACAAAGACAAAACGAAAGAAAAATCTGATAAAAATCAAAACAAAAACAAAAAGAGAGAAAGACACATCAAAAGGAAAGACAAGAAAGAAAAAAGACAAGAAAAAATCTAATGAATATCAACAAACGCGACAAAATCCCAAGAAAGACGACAGCAAACACATGCCAGCCACCGGGAGGACGGCAAACAAACCCAGCCAACACCACAAACACAGTCCAGCGAGCAGCCAGACGAGCGACCAAGTGTTGAAAGATTAATCCACCAAGAAATTAAACATGAAAAAGTTCCATTAAAGTGAGAACGTAAGAATAAACAAGAGAAGAACACTAAGAACAAGAACAAGAACGCCACTCTAGAATGGTTGGCTTCGTCGAGGCAAGGATAGAGGAAGTAAGAGTAAGGAGAACGAGTGAAGAAAGAGGTGGAATGAAGACAGAAATGAAGTAGATACCAGGAGAAACAGATGAAACGAAGACAATAATGAAATAAAAAATGAAGAAACCAAGAATAAAGATGACAAATGAAGCAAATAGGAAGAGAACAGGTGAAATGAAGTCAATAATAAAGTTAAAATGAAGAAACTAGGTAAACAGAAGACAGAAATGAAGTGAAAAATGAAGACAACAGAGAGACAAACAAGTATAAACGATATAATAATGAGCTAAAAAGATAAGTCTCTCAATATAGGGAGAGGATGAGTCACCCGGAGGATTAGATCCCTTTAAAACCTTCTGAGAAAAACAACAGACTGAGAAGAGGATCAAAGGCGCTTATATATAACACCGGGATAAAGTTAGTGGCGTTGAAATAATAAGAGTGAAAACAATATATACAACTATATACATTATGCCTGACCAGACCTACACCAAGACCAGACCTACACCAAGACCAGACCTACACCAAGACCAGACCTACACCAAGACCAGACCTACACCAAGACCAGACCTACACCAAGACCAGACCTACACCAAGACCAGACCTACACCAAGACCAGACCTACACCAAGACCAGACCTACACCAAGACCAGACCTACACCAAGACCAGAAAATATAATATAAATTTAATGCCAAAGTAATTAAATATGTTTATATAATTAGTGTGAATTAATAAGTCATTCACAAGATAAACTACCATTTACAAGAGTCACCCAAGAAAGGCTTAAGAGAAAACGTGCACAGAAAACGATGATGGTGTGTGTACAGGAATAGTGGAGGTGAGACGTGTAGGTGTTCATGTGCGTCTTGGGCCTGTGTGTGTGTGTGTGTCCGTTTATATTCTTACTAACTTTATTTTTATGTGTTTATTAATCATATTTTTTTGTAATTTGTTTATTTTTCTCTCGTTTTTTTTGTGTTTTTTTGCGTGTCTTAATTTCGTGTTTTTATCTAATCATTTATTTTACCTTTTTTTAAATGTTTATTTTTCTGTTTTCTCTCCCTTTACTTATTCATTCATTTATTCAGGTTAAACATACCTACACTGCACATGTACACACATATATGTATACCAACTACTTGCATTACACACACACACACACACACACACGACAAAAAGGACATATCCCTCAAGATAAGAATAATTCACTCTAAAAATTCACCCTTATCAACGCAGCTCATAAGGATTAAAATAGAATAGTGTTGGGCCCCAAATTTACCCTCCAAATAAGATTAGTTCAGTGTGGGTAATATTCTTAATTAACTCCCAGGTGAGGAGCACAGGTGAGATGTTTCACCTCCCCAAAATGTGTCATTATTTCGCAAAGTCAGATGAGGCGGCCTCCCTCCTCCTCCCCCCCCCCTTCTCGACCTCCTCACCTTCCCTCCCTTCTCCCCCTCCTCCCTCCTTCTCGCCTTCCTCACTCCCCCCTCCTTCCTCCCTCCCTCTTCCTCCCTCCCTCTTCCTCCCTCACTCACCCTCTTCTCCTCACCCCAGGGAGGTTCCCACCACGACAAACACGGCAAGAAGGGCCACCATGAGAAGGGCAAGTACCACGACGACCACAAGGGCCACAAGGGCCAATATGGCGACAAGGGCCACTATGGCCACAAGAGTTCCTATGGCAAGAAGGGCGGACACAAGGGCGATTATGGCCACGACGACCACAAGGGATATGGCCATGATGACCACAAGGGCCATGACGACCACAAGGGCTATGGCCACGACGACCATAAGGGATATGGCCACGACGCCACGACGACCATAAGGGATATGGCCACGACGACGACCATGGCCACGGAGGATATGGCCACGATGACCACAAAGGATATGGCCATGACGACCACAAGGGTTATGTACGACGACCATAAGGACATGGCCACGACGCCTATGGCCACGGAGGATATGGCCACGACGACCACAAAGGATATGGGCACGACGACCACAAGGATATGGGCACGACGACCACAAAGGATACGACGACCAAAGGATATGGCCACGACGACTACAAAGGATATGGCCACGACGACCACGGTGAGTAGGCTTTAAAAAATGTTGTGAGCCATAAGCAAACACACTGTCTCTCTCACCTGATGCCCCCACTCTCTCACGGGCGGGGGTACCAAACACACTGTCTCTCTCACCTGATGCCTCACTCTCTCACGGGCGGGGTACCAAACACACTGTCTCTCTCACCTGATGCCTCACTCTGTACCAAACACATGTCTCTCTCACCTGATGCCACCTCTCACGGGGCTGGGGTACCCACACTGTCTCAACACTGTCTCTCTCACCTGATGCCTCACTCTCTCACGGGGGGGTACCAAACACACTGTCTCTACCTGACTCTCTCACGGTGTACCAAAACACACTGTCTCTCTCACCTGATGCCTCACCTCTCTCACGGGGCGGGGGTACCAAACACTGTCTCTCTCACCTGATGCCTCACTCTCTCACGGGGCGGGGGTACCAAACACACTGTCTCTCTCACCTGATGCCTCACTCTGTACCTCTGTCTCTCACCTGATGCCTCACTCTCTCACGGGGCGGGGTACCAAACACACTGTCTCTCTCACCTGATGCCTCCCACTCTCTCACGGGGCTGGGGTACCAAACACTGTCTCTCTCACCTGATGCCTCACTCTCTCACGGGGCTGGGGGTACCAAACACACTGTCTCTCTCACCTGATCTCTCTCACGGGGCTGGGGTACCAAACACACTGTCTCTCTCACCTGATGCCTCACTCTCTCACGGGGCTGGGGTACCAAACACACTGTCTCTCTCACCTGATGCCTCACTCTCTCACGGGCTGGGGTACCAAACACCTCTCTCCCTGATGCCTCACTCTCTCACGGGGCGGGGTACCAAACACACTGTCTCTCTCACCTGATGCCTCACTCTCTCAGGGGCAGGGGTACCAACACTGTCTCTCTCACCTGATGCCTCACTCTCACAGGGCGGGGTACCAAACACTGTCTCTCTCACCTGATGCCTCACTCTCACGGGGCAGGTACCAAACACACTGTCTCTCTCACCTGATGCCTCACTCTCTCACGGGGCGGGGGTACCAAACACACTGTCTCTCTCTCACCTGATGCCTCACTCTCTCACGGGGGGGGTACCAAACACACTGTCTCTCTCACCTGATGCCTCACTCTCTCACGGGGCAGGGGTACCAAACACACTGTCTCTCACCTGATGCCCCACTCTCACGGGCGGGGGGTACCAACACACTGTCTCTCACCTGATGCCTCACTCTCTCACGGGGCGGGGTACCAAACACACTGTCTCTCTCACCTGATGCCTCACTCTCTCACGGGGCGGGGGTACCAAACACACTGTCTCCTCACCTGATGCCTCACCTCACTACCAAACACACTGTCTCTCTCACCTGATGCCTCACTCTCTCACGGGGCGGGGGTACCAAACACACTGTCTCTCTCACCTGATGCCTCACTCTCTCACGGGGCGGGGGTACCAAACACACTGTCTCTCTCACCTGATGCCTCACTCTCTCACGGGGCGGGGGTACCAAACACACTGTCTCTCTCACCTGATGCCTCACTCTCTCACGGGGCGGGGGTACCTCATGTATATGTATAAGTATGAGAATAAGTAGCTGTCAACCTTATTCACGTAAAGTATAAGTAACTATTGAGTGATGTATAAAGAGCCACCTTTGCCCCACACAGGCCACGGTGATCACGGCGGCTATGGCTCACACTCCAACGTGCAGCCCGTCACCACAGTCGCTAAGGCAGGTCCCGCTTCAGGCTTCGTCCCGATGTATGTTCCTGCATCATCATCCAAGTCCCCTACATTATTCTCTCCCTCTCTATCATTAGTTCCTCCACCACGACCACCAACGCCAACACTGGTGGCGGCTCCATCCTACACGCCCTCATCAACGTCGTCCTCCCAGCCTCTCGGTCTCCTGGTGGCTGGTGGTACGCCAAAGGGCACTCACACCTTCGAAAGTTTCGGTGACTTTGCCAAGTTTATCTGAGAACACCTGAGTGCAGGTGCTAGTGGTAGATACGTCACAGCTCTCTCACACACACAAACTTAGCGTCAACAAACACTCCAACAACTGCCAGGGCCGACACTCCTCTTCCTAAGTCGTCTCAAGAGGACCTTCTCAGTCTCACACAGTCCTCAGTGAACAATGATTTATTGAGAAGTTTATCTCATTATGTCTCCAGGTGAAACAACAACAACAACAACAATAATAGTAATAACAATACCACTTGTTAACCATTGCGTCATCTGTTCATCTACCTCGTAATGTGCACTGAGCCACTAACTGTATTTCTTAAAAACCTACAACAATGTTTTATGTTATTAGAGGTGTTAAAAGGTGTTTTGTTCTCCAGCTTATTATTATGTTTAATAAAGTTATAGTGTAATATACTGACGTCTTTGTGTTACCCTTATGATGCTGTGTGTGTGTGTGTGTGTGTGTGTGTGTGTGTGTGTGTGTGTGTGTGTACTTATAATCACTAATAAATTTTGTGATAAAAAGTTTAGTAATAATATTTATAATTGAAAATAATGATTGGAGGTGTGTTGAGTCATGAGGACCATTAAACCATCATTGGAGGTCGGCTGTTGAGTAGAGTAATAACCATCATTAGAGGTCATTGTTGATAAGGACCATTCATCATTGGAGGTCGGCTGTTGAGTCGCTGAGGACCATTAAACCATCATTAGGAGTCGGCTGTTGAGTCACTGAGTACCATTAAACCATCATTGGAGGTCGGCTGTTGAGTCACTGAGTACCATTAAACCATCATTGGAGGTCGGCTGTTGAGTCACTGAGGACCATTAAACCATCTGGAGGTCGGCTGTTGAGTCACTGAGTACCATTAAACCATCATTGGAGGTCGGCT